GTCTTTCTCTCTATTTTGAACAAGATGCTCGTTTTAATATTCCTTATACTAGTAAATTATAAGGTTACCTCATACATGACAGTCATTGCTCCCTTCTCCTAGCCCCATGACCTTATCGAGAAGATCAATTCATAGTTTTAGGAGAAAAGTGAATACTATAATTAGGTTTCATATATTTTGCGAGAAGCATAGCTTGTTTTATATTTTACTTTTAAAATAGAGTGACTATATACAATTGCATATGTATAGTGAATTTTCTTCCTTGTAATGTATAAATTTATCAAAATTATTATCATGATCACATGCATGCCTTGCACTTTTATGAACCTGGGATGCTGTTTGATGCTGGCAAAGAATGGGACCAAAATCCAGAATAAATGTATCCGATAATCATGCAATTTCTAGTGTGCTTCTATTCAATCATCCCATGTATACAAGGAAGACAAGAAAAATTGTTTAAAATCAGGGGCGGCCCTGCGAGGTGTAATCGCATAGAGGCTCATGATTAGGGGCACTATACCCGTATAATGTGTTATATTCATATATTTATATTTATTTGATTTAAGTAATAGATTTAAAGTTAAAGGACACAAAATTTAAGATATGAAAGATTATTATTGTCCAACCCAAATATTTAAAGAGGAAATTACATAAAATCAAGTATTTAAACTTTCAAATTCAAAATTCAGCAGATGAAGTTACTTATGCAAAAATCAGGTATTATATATAGCCCCTCATTAAAACTCTTCAATTTAATTTAATTTTTTTCTCTCATATTTTCAACCACACAATATTCAATAAAATAACATTACACGCAAATCAAAAAATTCTCATTCTTTTACAACTATCAATTTTTTTTAAAAAAAAAAAACACTATTCTCCCCATTTTTAAAAAATTACTCGGGCCTTTTGTGCAGGGTATTGAGGCCTTGTTTCCGTGTTAAATGTAATCCCTTTTTTTTTTTTATAATTATCTTTTAGTTAGTATCTACTAGTAAATTTGACATTGTTTAGTGTTTTTTTTTTTTTCTAAAATGGAGTTTAATTCTTACTTATATTTCTAATATTAGACTATTTTCCGAGTGTTCGGCGAGCTATTGAGTTAATCATTCGTGGTCAATGCAGGAATGGATATTAAGGGGGTTTTTGTTGAAAAATCCAATTGGTGAAATTTCGAGTTCAGTATATCAATCTCAACCATATCAATACACCCAAGTAATCACGACCCAAAACCTTAAACATCTTCCACACTCTGGTTGCTCAAGATTTGTACCTACTTAGGACACAAAAATGACGGTGTTTGCAACTACAAAGGAGGTGCCACAAAGGCTAGAGAAGAACAAAAAAACACGGCCAAGGAGAAGCACAAAGCAAAAGAGGCAGACTCATTTTTTCTTTCAAAACACAAGAAAATGCAAATACGTGAATGACAAAAGCTAAAGAGGGCCAACTTCTATAGATTATGTTAGGGCATAGAGATGGGCCTAACCCAAAACAAATACGACAAGTGGGCCAACATACAAAAGCCATCCAATGAGTGTAGAAATCGGGTCATGAGCAACACTAATTAATTAGGTTGCTTCCAATGGATCAAATAGTCTTAGGGTTGGGTCATAAATCTTGTGTGTTAATATTTATTTTATCCAACATCGATTTAACATCATCACCCAGATTATTAAGTCAAAACCCAACAATCGCCACCTTGATGCTTAATAATCTACAAGCAAACAAAACACAAAGTTTATACTTGCACAATCAAGGTAATCCAATAAAATTGGTATCACAGACCTTATAAACACATACCATACCTGCTTCATGTACTCACTAGGGCTAAGGTCCATAAAACACCCAAGAAGGAACAAGCATTCATAGTAAACAAATAATCATGCGATGAAGATATTATATAGGATAATACACAGATCTTTTCAAAATCTCATTCACATAAAGCCAAAGATTAACACCATTTTAATCAGCACACGGTCAAACACATGTGCAACAAATACATAAATAACCCCATAAATGATCTCACCACACTTATCCTATCTCATTTCGTGTTGCTCCCATCTCAAGAACACATGACTCTTCTCATCGCCCACCATGCTTACTAGAAAATCACTCTCAACTCATATTTAACTGACAAGTCACAATAGAGCTTAAACTCTTGGGATAATCCTCTATTACCACATCACTTCTCCCAACCTACGTGGATAATGGGTCTCCATCTTACCAAAGTGATAGAAGTGTCTCTCTCACACTCCACTTGTACAGGGTCTCTTACACAGATAAAGGATTCTAGACATTTGATCACGTCTCCACTCGTGACCCAAATGTCACACTCCACATCCCCTGTACAAACTACAATGTACTCCTAGACATCTATACTTCACCTTATCAAAAGAAATACAACTCACTGCTAATGCATTCTAACCCATTATGCATACAAACAATCACATCAATTAATCACATTACCTCAAATTCATGCAAACACACATATCAAACAAATTGAAATGCAATATATAATCATGCAATAGAATTAGGCAATCACACACATGCAGAAAGGATCACACACAGATGCATATGCAGTAACTAGGTTTACTCTCAATAAATCTTACTAGGGTCATAACTCAACCCCTCAATCACATTAATCTCACCTTTCACATTACCTTTATGCTTATCCTTTTTCTTGGGACAGTTCTTGATAAAGTGTCTAGACTTACCACAACTATAACACCGTTTACCACTATACTTGTTCCGTCCCTTACCCTTCTTCTTACTACCTTTATCACTCGAGGCACTACTCGAATCACCACTATTTTTAGCTCTACCCAAATTTATTTGCTTAAACTTCATCCTACTCCTTATCATGTGTAACTCACCACACTTCTTATTTTCATTTTCAACCTTAATTTCCATTTTCTTACTCCTAAGTGAGTCTATGACAATCTCAGGTGTTAGGATGTCTCTACAGTACTTAATTACATTCTTAACCTCTCTATAGGAATCAGACATGGAATTAAGTAAGATAATTGCTTTATATGTTTCAGACACATTTTTATCACAGTTAACAATGTCTTGAACAAGTTTGTTAAAAGTATCCAGATTATCGTCAAGATCCTTTTAAGGATCCTTTTTAAAACTGAAAATCTTTCAAGTAAGTACAACTTATTAGAAGTAGATTTAAGCAAATATAAGTCTTTCAATTTTTTTCAAAAATCTTTTGTAGAATTCAATTTTTCAACTTTTCTCAAAATAGTGTCAGATAAATGTAAGATAATCGAAGCGTATGCAAGTTCATCGTATTCCTCTTTTTGTGTTTCTGTCAAATTTACAGGAAATTTGCCATCTATGGCCTTTGAAACTTTTTGTTGAACCAAAATTCCCTTTATCTTTTGTTGCGAAATTGAAAAATCCTCTTTGCCATTGAAAATACCAACTTCGAAATGTGAAGATATTTTTGGGAAAATAGAACAACTAAATACACAAATAGATCACACAAAGTAATCCTATGACTGCAATATGCACCGTTCTAGATTTCCAGAGTTTTGTAAGATTTGCGATCTTAGATGAAGGAAATTTTCGAATGGGTCAAATCCAAGTGTTCTAACAGGACACATATTAACAAAAAAATTCAAATTCTTACGCAATGTAGTCTTACGCAGTATCTATATGATAATTACAGCACAAAATCAATTATCAACTTGCAATCAACTTCAATACTTCAAATAGGGCAGATAATTCGCAATGAAAACCCTCAATCCTAATAATCACCCACACGATGATCTGCTAGTATGATAATATAAAGGTTTCGGCCAATTTACCAAAGCGGACCAATCCAAGTCCATAAATTGTGAGAAACACAGATTTGTTACTTTAGGACCATCACTATTCACCATAAAGTCACCAGCAACCAATTGAGCAAAATTAAATCCCGAACATGCAGGGGCAAAATCGTCCAAATTTCACAGTAGCATCCAAAACTGAAAACGAACACCACCGCAAGGTCTATCTCGTCATCCAGAGAAAAGTGTCTGAAGACACCATCGCCGAAAGAGTCCCTATGCACCCACGCCGAATGTCCACACGCCATCTACTCTGGTGCGCCTCGATCTACTAAACACGTTGGTGGTCTTGGTTTGTCCAAAAGGTAAGTGGTATGACGGAATAACATCCAAACAAATTCGATAGAGAATTTTTTTTCAAGTGGACAGAACGGTTTCTGATTTTTTGCCAATTTTCAATTCAGTTTCTTATCGTTTTTGGGCTAGAAATCCACCAACAGCCTTGCTCTAATACCAAATGTTGAAAAAATCGACCTCCAATTAGTTAAATTTCGAGCTTAGTATACCAATCTCAATCTTATCAATATAGTCGAGTAATCACGACCCAAAACCTTAAACCTCTTCCACACTTCGGTTGCTCAAGATTTATACCTACTTAGGACACAAAAATGATGGTGTTTGCAGCCAAAAAGGCTAGAGAAGAACAAAAAGACACGACAAGACGAAGCACAAAGCAAAAGAGGTAGGCTCGTTTTTTCTCTCAAAACGCAAGAAAAGGCGAGACAAAGAGGGCCAACTTATATAGGCTAGGTTAGGGCATAGAGATGGGCCAAGCCCAATACAAATATGACAAGTGGGCCAACATACAAAAGTCATCCAATGAGTGTAGAAATCGGGCCATGAGCAATACTAATTAATTATGTTGCTTCCAATGGTCCAAATAGTCTTAGGTACGGATCATCAATCTCGGGTGTTGATATTTATTTTATCCAACATCGGTTCAACATCAACGCTCGAATTATTGGGTATCAAAACCTAACAGTTGTAGATGCAGTTCAAATGGACAAAACCACATCTCTTGTGCAAAAGGTTATTCCAGTGGCATGAATAAGTAATGTCATGTAATCTGAGCTTGTAGGATGATTGTCAATGTGAATGGAAAAGTAGAAATTCAGTGTGCTAAATATCAGTTCTTTTTGTTTGTTGAATAGATATACAATTTCTGAACCAGTTATAAAATTGGCTTAATGAAATTGGGTAATGAATGCTAACCTCTAATATCGACTTTATATGTAGGTGGTGATGTCAAGATGATTACGAGGAAAAAAACAGTCAGATATGATTGAGATTGTGTAGAATCCATTAACTGAATATTACATGAGTCAGAACCACCTAAATTTCCAAATTTAGGGATATTCATTTTACCATTGAATGTGAGTGTATACTTAGAGGACTGTGAAATACTGTAAAACATGTTTTATCGGCCAATTTACTTGATATGATGAAATTAACAGAAATACCATGTTTTCACATGGTAAACATTTGTTGCATGAACCAATTTAACTGTTTCTATGTAGATGCTAATGGATATACATGCATGAAAATGTTTTGCAATTGGAATTTAGATGATCTGGCTTGAATTGTCTGGTTATATACTATAGAATAAATCTTTCAAAAGTATATATATATAGTGGAAATTACCAAAATAATCAACTTCTGGGTCTTCATTTACAAAAATGACATTTTTTTTAACTCATTGCAAAATTGTCAATTTTGGTCTTTTTTGCCCCTCTAACTAATTTCAAACCCTTCTATGTCCTTCATTAAATTAGACATGACTAGAGTTTGAAATGTCATGGTACTTATTAAATGAATTGATGGGAAAAAAAAGAACTAAACAAAATCTGGTGAAGAAGGTGAACCGACCAAACAAAATTTGGAATTCTCAAAATGGTCCGAGCATGGAAATTCCTTGTGAAGATCCTTACGCTGTTTTATTCTTGATATACAAAATCAGGTGTTTTTACACCCAGTGATGACCTGGCAAATGAGGTACCTGCAGCCTTAGAGTTAAGTGGTGAAAAACTTTGGAGGATGTCCCTGGTAGAAAGTTACTGGGAGTTCATGAAATCTGGATTCACGCTATGTTGCGGTCGCTACCAGGATGGATCGAACGCGAACGCGTGGGGCGTAAGTGGCAGCTAGCTTGCTGCCTTTTTTTTTTTTTTTTTTAAAAAAGCCCCCCCCCCCCCCCCCCCCCCACACACACACACACACACCCCCACAACCCTTTTTTCTCGTTGAATCAAGATTTTGACAATATTAAGTTTGTTTTACCTTATGTGCATTTGGTGTATATTAAATTAGCTTTCTACTTAACCATTTTGAAAATTGCAGAATAGCTGTAAATCTAATGGCCTAATTTGTATTTTGGAATGGTTCTAATAGCAAGTAGGTTGATTTCAAATGTAGAAAATTGGCAATTTGGAAGGGGGCTTCAAATGTTGGACCGATGAGGCTTATTTCTGATGACAAAAAATAAAAAAAACAAAATGTTCCTTTTGTCAGAAGAAATCGCATATTTGAATATGGAAAAATTGGGTGCAAACAAGTATCTTTGTATTGGCTAAGTTCACAAACTGGAGATACATGAGTCGTTGTTGGAGTTTAGTTTATGTCTGTGTCTGAGCATAGATTACGTTAGTGTCACAATGACTGTTGCTCACTTGAAGGTATTTGTGTCAAATTTGAATTGAGAGAGGTGATAAATTAGTAGGCAAACTAACACTCCAAATGGTGAAAGAATCGCCCCCACTCTATCTCGATTGGATTAATGAGGGATTTTTTTATGGACCAGTCTCTCACACATTTCCCTCTCTCACACATTTCCTTCTCTTACAAAGCTTGGCAGCATTCAACTCTCTCCTATGTCCTCTAATTTTCTTCTACTTCATCCTTCTTCTTCGAACACACCTAACAGCAATGGACTCTCTTATTTATCCTTTTACAAATTTCGTCCAACCGGGGTAGAAGCAAGTATTGACATTAAAATATACCCATTTTCTTAAAAGTCTATTTACACTTCTATTACGGCCAATCCAATTTTGAAATCTCTCCGCAACCCTCCAAAATTGGTCTTCGAAAATTTTGAGAATCTGAAAAAATCGAGACCACCATTTTCGTGTTGTCTACAAATTGAATGTCGAGGCAATTTGTTTCAACATAAGTGGCTTTTCGACCGCAAGACCAAGGGACGCGCCGTCGCGGATAAAGACATAGGCAACAAATTCACCGCTGAGGACATCGTGCATACCGTTGATTAGTCGGGTAATTCTCGATTACTTTGGAATCTTTGAGTTTATTGTTGTTTCTGACACTAAATATTGCATCTTAATTACAGGAAAAGAGAAACTATGTTTGTGCTCCTATTTTTTTGGTATTTTGATGGATTTTGATTTTAATGTTGTTATATTCAATGGTGATGGTTACAAGTCTTGATTTTGAATTAATTAGTATAATCTGTGTGCTCGCCTCTATAATTATTACTTAAGATATTAGTGGTAGTTAGAAATCTCATTATTAGGTTAGGATTGGGTAATTGTGTCATATTTTGGCAAATGATTTGATTAGCTTTGTGAATAAGTGGTTGTGCTTAACATTTGTATTGAGTATTGCTTAACAAATTGTTGAAATATTAACTTTCTGGTCATGATAATGTAATATTAAAATCGTTTTAGGTTAATTACTGATGTCAATAGTTGAAATGAATGTTATTTATGAATTTGTTCTTGGAAAAAAATTTGATGGAATTACAAATTGAAATATATTGGTACTAGTTGGTGTTTATACGGGAGAGAAACTTTGACTGATACATTTAATGATTTGGAATTGATTTTGATAAATATTGTTTGTTCGGTGAATCTTCGAACTTCAGATTGTTTTGTACATTTTATGTTTATGATAATTAAATATCAACCCTAGCTTCTCTTCGAACTTGTACATGAGACGTTAAGAAAGCTTTTTTTTTATGGGACGAAATTCGGACCGAATCATATCTAACCACAACATGTGTACTTAAATCATTATGTAAATCACTAGATACATACTTTTGCACACTAGTAGTACCAACGATTTTGTAATCATCACTTTTATGGTGCAGTTATGTTTTAGTGTGTGTGATTTGTGACATTGCATTTTACATTTCCAGTGTCTGAAGTGCTTTTAGATTCAAGATTTTGCCAAAGCGAATATTATGTGCCATTTTATTATTGAATTTAAAATTAGCAGATTTTTCCATAAAACTCGCATGCAATAAGCCGTTTGAGACAACATTTGAATCAATAATAATTCAGTATGATTAACTAAATTTTGTCGGTATTCGATAAACAATCATCTATTTTCTTCAAAAATTATAGCACATCAATTGCTCTATTTATTTCATTTGGTAAATGGCACCTTTAGAGTGTCATCTCCGAACATAAATTATCTCCAATAACTGTCTGAACATCCATATGTTTTTTAATACTCTCAAATGATGAGCTATGTCGATTCGAGACGTGCTTTAGTTTAGGGTGCACGATTTTGTTTCTTTTCCCCTCAATTCTTTTATCTACATAAAGTCTTATGCCAATATTTATGTTGGGCTTGATTGAATTCTTTCTCAGTTTATGGTTTTTTCATTTTGCACTTGTAAAGATTATTTGGGCTTAAAGGTTTGAGCTGTGTTTCATTTGCATATCCTTGTGATTGAACAGAAAGTATTGTGCAGTAATAACATTCTATTGCTTCAGTAATATTTTTTGCAATCATGTTTCATTTTGAATTGGAGTATATTGGTCATAGGTGGCTCTTGGAGGAGTGGTTCATTCGTTGTGCTTGCAATTGTTCTCTTCGATAGTTATGTTATTTTTATTTTCTCATTTGTTTTTTTCCCTATTTGTTATGATTCAGTGGCTTTGATTTTGCCTAAAAAAGAGCAAAGGAAGCTTCTAATGCTCAATGATGATTCATACTTTTTTTTTTTTTATCATTTCTCAGTCTTTTTATATTTCTTTATCTTTTATTCTTTTGTGTATTTTTTCGTTGATTTTGAAGATAAAATGTTCCCTACAATTTGAGAGTATAACTGAAACATGCAGAAATGAAAATTTTGATCAGAATCTTGTTTTCGGGAATGGTGTATTAGTTGAGGGGTGCATGATTTTAGCTTGAAATAGCAAATTAACGTTATTGTATAACATATGGATAACTTCGATATCTTAATTTAATCCCCTTTGATGAGCTAACTATTTTGGTATAATACCAAAATCATTATCGTATAGATTTTATTAGTTTATGATGTGTTTGTTGGAAGCATTTTGTAGATTCTTTCATGCCTTTTTTCAGTGTGCAACTTGTGTTTCAACTCTCAATTTGGAAAGTAATTAACCTAAAAAGTTAATGGTAAAATATTAGTGCTGAAAGGAGTAGTAAACAATGAAAGTCAGAGCATGAATGGCAACCATGTCTACTTTAGAATGTCGAATGCAGATTGAAATTGTACAAGCTAGAAACATAGGTATACTTATATTCTTCCATAAAAGCAATCGAAAATTGCATGATTTTTCTAATCCTGACTATGGAATTGTATTGACACATTTGATATAGCTGAACTGATCTTTGGCTTAGTATAATGCTTCTGACATATTTCTATTGTTCGCATCTCTCACCCTTGTTTGATGTCAATAACGTTCAAGTGATCAATTCTAAACGCAGTGCTTCGAACTTTTCGAGTTGAGGTCATCATCTGGAGAACATCCATAACCACTCCATTTGGAGCCTCCCATTTCGATTTACCAGGTGAGGATGATAGTTTCTTCCATTTCTTTTTGGGTTAGACACATTTGATGAACATACGTTTCAATTAGTTTTGAACCTATGCTAGTTATGGTCAACTATGCACACACAAGCACGTCCATTACACGTTTCTTATCATGTTTGTCATATACCCCGACCCTTTTTGCCCCAAAAAATTAATACACCTGTACAGTCAGTTTTAGTGACTCATGCAACGCATTGGGTGTGGTTCAAATGATACTTCACATAAGAATTACACACTCATGGTGGTATACATGTCAAAATTATATTGTTTCTATATTCACTTCAGTTGCCCAGCTCACTTTAGCAAGCAGATAAAATCAATCGGCAGTTTGCCTCAGCCATTCTCGACAGTTGACCTCTCCAGTCATTTGTGGAGATTAACTGTCAGTATTGACAGATGAACTGTCCAAACCTACGATTGATGTCAATTTTCCACGACATCTGTACCCTTGCACATATCTTCATTTTGTTTATCATCTGTGTCGACATCTATACCCTTGCACATACCTTCATTTTGTTTACACGATCTTAATTCGAATGTTTTGTTGCTATGAAATTGTCATTATTGGTGATATTACTCAATATTAAGAGAAATTTGTAGTTGAATGGAACTTTCACTTATTTAATACTCCTCACTTATCTTTCTAGCTTCATCACTTTTGAATGTTATATGTTAGACTTTTCATTGTTCAAGGCTTACATTTTATCTTGTTATCATACAACGCAGATATTGAAATCATGTCTAATACCATGTTGGAGCCAATCGATGTCCCTGTCAAAGAAAGAGCGACGTTGGCAATGTTTCACTTCGGGTGACTGTGGAAAATGCATGGAGGAACGTTTTGTTTTACATTATTGTATATTTGTTTTTTGGGAAATGTTGATTATGTTCAAATGACATTCACTGTCAAAGAAACTGTGTGGATTTAGTATGGAAAATGTTGGTACGGAAACTGTTTCTAGCGTACTTTGTAAGTTTCTTGCTTTTTGAACTCGTTCGACCTAGAGATTAAAACTGATATCCAATTGAAAAATGGAAATTAGTGCATTTTATAAGTTTCTCGCTTTCGAGAAATTAGGATATTATGATTTTGACCAATACTTGGATCGTAATTTATAAATGGAAATTATAGAGACTAGAAGTTTCTCGCTTTCGGAAAAATAGAAATTGGTGCATTTTATAAGTTTCTCCTTTAAAACACCAATGAGAAAATGATAGTGAATGTCTGAACAATACAAGTACACTTTGTGGTTCAAGGCATCACACCAATTGTCTATCAAATTAAATTTGAGATGTGATGAAAATAAGTTGGCAGTTAGGAACTAATTGACCTTAATTAACCATCCTCCAACAAGTTCATTATAATTAGCACTACATGAGTTCATGTTCATAATTCACCCCTTGAAAGATTGGACAAGCTATTGTGAGACTCTCATATTGAAAAGTTAGTTGATACGAGATAATGGGTTTATCCACCTCCAGCAACAAACCATTCAACCCCAATATGCATCCGTTGATACTGGATTCGACCACTGAATTTCCCATCATTTTATCCTCAACGATGAGGAAGTAAGCATTGAGCACCATGGTGTCGAGTTCAATGAAGTTTCAAGTGTAGAATCTAGGTCACCGAACAGCGTGCTTGATCAAGTCTTTGAGGTCAGGGGTCCGATCGAATCACCATCTGACTCGGATGAGTGGCTAGCTCACCTTCTACCTCCAGAAATAATTGTCATAAGTTTAGACGATTCTGATGGAGAAAGTGAGGGAGAAGCTTAAAATGGAGATAGCAATGCAAGTGTACAATAAATGACCTTTTTGTAGGAAATTATGTATAGTATTTTATGGTAGCGATGATTTTGGTCACGTCCTTTGCATACGTGCAGCAACAGCATGTCCATAATGGGTAACCATAGTAGTGTATTTTGGAAGCCGTTATTATTCCCAACTGTCAAAAATTACAGAGACCATCTATCATAAACGACATATGAACCGTCGAGACATATTGTTGGTGTTTTGCTTGTGAATTGTCGTCTCATGAAAATCAATTTTCTATTTCGACAAATTATCAGTCGAAGCTAATGGAACCATAATGATCGACTAAATTTATAATGAAAATAACATATTCATCCCATTTGTGCTAATGGAACCGTAATGATCATTACTTTGCTTGCTAAACATAACGACCAATTTTTTGTTGGCATATGATAATAACAACAAATTAATAACATAAGTTCGAAATGTAACTGCATAGGGGGGAATATTTTCGAGATTACATTTGACAACCACTTTTACCACCAATTTAAGCCTTTATTGTCACGTATTTCGGCCGAAGGTATACTCAAGTTAGGGATTTCAAACTTCAATTTAATTTGAGTGCGGAGATCAAGAATACAAAGTTTGTCTTTCAACCGTAACAAAAGTTTGGCTATGGTAATACTTGTCGGCACCAGAATAAAAGAGGTTTTGTCCCCTCTCTATTTTCATTCATCATCCGCATGAACAAACTTTCTCCCATGCGACATGATAAATTTCAAATGATTACTCATATCTGAAATGTTGGGATTGCAACGGTAAGAATTCAGAATCAATATTTTGGCATTTAATAGCATGAAAGTGGCACTGCATAATATGTATATCCCGACAGTTTGTAAATGTCGGGTTCGACATTTCAAACGTTTAACTTGATGGTTTGTAAATGTCAAATTCAACAGTTGATCTGTCGAAAATGTCGGGACGTAGACGGCAGTGGGTGGAACTCATGCTTCTTCAGCACAAAACATTAAGTGTGGTCATTACTATTGCGCTATCAAGTGACAAAATGAAAATGTTAAATTGACCTTGTCATTAAAGAGACATTTAATGAAAACAGTGTTTGGTTTGAATGGAAAAAATTTACTCAAAACCTTAATGGTGATAATGACATTTTGTGAAGGACTCCAAAATCAAACAAATCAATGCATAATAGATTCAAAAATTTCAAATAAATATACCCATGTTGTATTTAATATTTACAAAACAAAAAACTATAACAATAAAATATAAATAATTTATAATTGCTAACCTTTCAAAATTGATGAAGAATGCAACAAAAATGTTTTCTTGATCAATGAAAATGAAGAAGATGGAGAAAAGTTAGAGTTTGTAGTTTATATTTCATTTTTAAATTTCTTTTACCATTTTTTATTAACAAAAATTCATATTAATCAATAAAATACACATTTATCCATGTTTTGTATATAGAAATTAAATCATCGCATCAAATCAATGCTTTTCCTTCAAACCAAGCATTAAATTCTACTAAAAATATGTCATTAAAGGTAATTTGGACTTTTCACCCCAAAAAAGTGACATTTTTGCTCACATAAAGTGAAAATGACAAATTTTTTTGGACTTTCATTTTTATGACATTTTTATAAATTCCCCATATATGTATTGGAACAATATATTTAAGCGTTAAATGGTTATCTCTGTCTACACATTGACAAACCAAAACAGATGAATTTGCTGATGAATCTAAAGTGTGTTCTTGGGTTTTGTGTCATTTATGAAGAATATCCTGAATTTCATTAACTTTTCCTCAAAATAAGCATTATATTTATCTCTATGACCTCATTGCAAAGCAAAGGAGAGGAATTTTCTTATGAAGCTAAACGCTTTTCCTTGGTTTTCATGAATCATTCATGAAGAATTGTCCTGCATGTCATGCATTTAATAGAATAACCTTTAATTAAAAAACATGCTACACATAGTTTAAATATGCTGCAATGAGGATAAGCCCAGTTCTTTCCACTCGGTTGGTATAACATCCTGAACATTATAGAATAACTTAAAAAATCAACAAAATTGCCGTCAATTTCCTTTACAATGAAATGAAAAAGTTTTTTACACTCCTTTAAAGGGCCAAAAGTTAGCGAGCTTGTTGGAAAATTGTGTCTATCCTTGTTGGCATTGTGCTATGACATGGAATTGCTAGTACATTTTCGTAAAAAGAGAGAAGGGAGATCCTTATATGACCATTAAGTGCCAAAAGTATGCATGCGGCCTTTTTGCTTGTTTGCAATGTATCCATGATTTTGATACACACCTTTAACATATAAATATTTAAATTCTGTTCATGAACGTATTTTTGCAGCACACAGCATATCCTTATTTGATAAACTTAGATTTTAAATATTGTTATAAATTATTTTCCTTTTTATGTGACAGATTAATCAGCATTTTCTTGGAGTTCTGATAGGTTTTTTATTTGTTACAAAGTTTTATTTTTAAGGTCATTTGGCATTAAATTAGTCTTGTAATACAAAATTCCTCCCCAGGTGTTCACCGCTGAATATGAGATAATATGCAAATTTTTTTAGTACAAAAAGCCTTATATCAGCTTGATTGATGGTATTACAATGGGCTTTGGGATTGTTCTATCTGGTCGTGGTCGGGACAGGATCATTACTGAGGTAATCTTGTTCTCTTGCGAAGTTTTTGTTGCACAGCTTAGATGGAAACACGCGCCATGTACTACTATCTAAGTTATTTGTCTAATATTATTTCAGAGAATTGTCCTTGCCATGCCAGAAAATGGAATTGGCTTGTTTCCAGATGTTGTTTTTGCATATATAGCTGCACAAAGTCCAGGAGAAGGAGCAGTAGGTGAGCTTTTTGTTGTTTCACCAGGCACTTCTCCTTCCCCTAGAAATTGTTATATTGTTAACATCCTTTTTAATAGGAAATACTATAGAGTTCTTCCTGGATGGCATGATAATTTCAGCAATTCATACAATTTTTTCTCTTATCTCAAGAAAATCAAATTCTAGAAAAATAAGTGATTTTCTAGTATATAATAGGTCATGGAAAGCTATTTCAAGAATCAGATTGAAGGGAATTTGGAAGACATTATCTTGATTATTCGGGGGAATTTTGTGAAAGGGAGAATAATTTAGATTTGGCATTAGAGATTAATGAGTCAGAGTATAGGGCAATGAAAAGGTGGGGTTAGTGTTTAAGATTGATTTTGAGAGGGCATTTGGCCATTTTAATTGAGATTAATGACTAGTGTACTCCCTAGTCTTTAGGGGCTCTTTATCGAGCCCTACAGAATTTAATTATGAACGCCTCCAATAGATTTGTCCAATAGATTTGTGTTGTTGCCTCCACAGTTTTTGTAGTGCTGCATGTCTGAATTTGGCTCCCTCCCTATGTTTGCACTGATTTTTTGCTAATTTAGAAATGAATGTATGATTAATTGCTAAAAGGTATGGCCACTACAATAGGTCTTATTCTTTGATCTATTTATCTTTTTTTCTACTTGAATTTTTGCAGGGGCTTACCTTGGACTGACTGGAAATAGGATATCAACTCCATATGATGCTCCATATGTAGGCCTTGGAGCACATCATGTGCCTTTTGAGAACTTGGATTCATTGAAGAAAGATTTATTAGCAACCACCTTGTATGTGTTTCAATTCTTGCTTCACAGAATCTCATCTTTGTGGTGTCTAGTTTCGATTGGGATTATTCCATTTTATGTTTGAATTTGTGAAAGTACGAGTAGGATTTCATGATGAATATGAAATAATTTTCCCTCTCCAAATTCTTTCTTCTTCTCTCTCTTCTTCTTGTTAGCCAACAGCTGGACATGAATCTGTATTCGTTAGTTGTGGACATTGTGAAAGTAAGTTCATTGGATTATATCTGTCTGCTTTCACACTTCAGTATTTTGAATGCACTTCCCTTTCTTCACCGAAAGGAATGTTGTCTAGATCGACCAACATGGTCAGGAAGTATTAATTTGTATTCATTAATGACGATACTTCAACCAGTGTTGTGTGGTTTTTGTTTTGGTCTCTCTCCATGGTCCATACTCTGCTAAACCGGCAAATGTTTTCATATAAACTGATGTAGTAGAAACTTTATTTATTAGAAGAATAGCTTCCATCAATCTATCATTCTGGAAAATTATGTTTTTTCATGTAGTTCGGAGTAACCAGATCAGGAAATCAAAGCGCTGCTGGAACAATATAGCACAAACCCAGTCTGAACCTCGTTTGAAGTTGCTTTTACCTCAGATAATTTCAACTTTTGGCGGTAATAAGTCTGTTGAGGAGATAATGAACGAGCTGGAAAAACATCAGGAAAGTGCCGATACCTTGGGTAAGATAGTGTCAACTGCACATGTTTTGTTGTGCGAGTGTTGGATATTTCTGTTCCTTGATGTTAAGAAAACATATTGAACATCATATTGCCCTGGTAGCAAATTGATCCCCAGCCTTTCATTATCGTTGCACTAGTAGTCTGATATGGAAACCGTTCCGAACACCATTAAAATGTCACATGCCCTGACATCTTCAACTTTGTAAAGTTAGGTTTTGATTCCCAATTTGGACTGATGCCTAGAAACTTTTAGTGAGACATTTCCAGGACCATGTGATTACATAACAAAATGACTTGGACAGTTTCTGTTATCGTGAATTGGTTGTGCAACTATAATGGAAGGTCAGGGTCCAACTTCTTGTTGGGGGAATAGATTGGTGACGAATTGTGCAATTTCCTCTGTTGATTATAATCCTTATTGCTATTTTCCATTGTTTTCTTGGCAGTGGCAGAGTGGGCAAAGGATGCCTTGCAAGGGTTCAGAAAAGGAGCATATTTTTCGCTTTGCCTCGCTCAAAACCATTTCACAAAAGTTGCTTCTGCAAGAGGAAAAAGTAACCATGATTTGTCTAAGGTGATAAATTTGTCCTACTCTTTATTCTTGGCCTGGAGATATTATAATTCTGTTGTTATATTTAATCGGTACTGTATGGAATGAAATCGAGTTCTCATATACCTTATTTGTGTTTTAGACACCGGATTCACACTTACCGTATTTGGCAATTGCTTACCCATTTCACAAAAGTTGCTTCTGCAAGAGGAAAAAGTAACCATGATTTGTCTAAGGTGATAAATTTGTCCTACTCTTTATTCTTTGGCCTGGAGATATTATAATTCTGTTGTTATATTTAATCGGTACTGTATGGAATGAAATCGAGTTCTCATATACCTTATTTGTGTTTTAGACACCGGATTCACACTTACCGTATTTGGCAATTGCTTATCGTATTTGGTAATGCTCACCGTATTTGGTAGTGCAATTCACCGTATTTGGCAGTGCAACTCACGGTATTTGGCAGTCCGTCACCGTATATGGCAGTGACCGTATTTGGCAGAGAATTAAACACAGAATTTCCACAACTATTTGTTTTCATACAATGACTTTAAATAACATAGAATTTGGTGTTTGTTTTCATATAATTTGCACAAACACAATTTCGGAAAAAATTCAGATAAATTTTTTCTTAATTTTATTTTTGACAAATTACTTAGATACAAACTATTATCTAAATCACTACTTGAATAAGAATGATAAATTATATTATTTGCAGAAACATAAAAGCAGTATAAATTTCAGAAAGCTAAATAAAATCTGAAAGCATGTAAATTTGCAAATAATTAAAGCACAGATACTCAAACTGGAAGCATATATATTTGGAAATAAACTTTTAACCCCGAGACCTGTGTAAACACAGTTTCCTTAAGACAAATTCGCCCCCTCACTATAGTGCTAGAGGTTTAGTTCGAGCGACTGTCTCTCAAGATACAACGATAACCAGCAAAATCCGAGCACCGTGGTTCTACTCCGGTGAACTGGGCGAGTGTTCAAACAATATCATCTTACTGAAATGGACATAGGAGGAGACGAACAAAACAGAAAACAAAACTGAATCTGAGTATAAACTGCTGGAAATTACAGACGAAAATTTCAATGTATGAACTGCTGAAAATTGAGTGAAATTATATAGATTGAATCTGACCATTAGTTTCTGCATTAACCATTGCAGTTTTTGGAGTTACACTTCGATTTCGACCATTGGAGTTTTAGGAGTTTTAGACACTCAAAAGTCATTTGGAAAAACCACAAAAAAAAATTACAAAACGCGAACAATCCAAACTGGCCAGTTTTATGTTAAACAATAGTAAAGATTGCATGGTAATCTATATGAATGGAATTAATAAAATTAAACTTTTGGGGAAAAAATCGCTTTTTTTCAATGTTTTCTTATTACTGTCATTTGCTCATTCATTCATAGAACCCGAAATGGAAACTCTCAAGCTTGGAAACAGTGAATACCAATGAAATTGAATCTATTTTCGAACCCTTGAGTCCAGAAAAAGAATTGTGTGTGTGAGTCATGGTAATTGATATTTTCATCACCTTCCTAGTGCACGAAGAGAGCAATGGCTTTTTATTTGGATATACCAAAGCTATAAATCAATGGTTGGATGGCTGCTGTTGGTATCTATCCTGCCTCATAGGTACAAGTAAACAATAAACGCCAAAATTCAGACATTATGTTGAAATCGTCATTATCCGTGTGTTTTTGCCCTTCTTTAGGATGGTTTTTTGAGCTTGATTCGTGATATGGTTTGTATGCTAACTATTCTTTTGCCCACTGTGAGAAGTCCTATCTTGTCCACTTTTAAAAAAACCTTACCTCAGGTTCTCACATTTGGAGAGAACTATAAGTAAGTTTATCATGTCGTATCAGCAAATGGACAATCTTATCTTGCTCATTGTGGGCAAGAGAACAATTTCTTATGAGCTAATGCCTTTTTACACACTAGGCTACCATTTTCCGAAAGCTCCACGCGACAATCCTTACTGTGGATTTCAAAATACCTTGTCATTTTTCTCTTTTATATATATATATACATATATAGGTGTTTAATATATATTTTTTATTGTATGTTGAATATGAGTTTTAATTCTGAACCAAAATGAATTTAAATTCCACAAAAAAATAAATGAATGATTTTTATCTGTATTTGAATAAAATTAATTTATGGGTATAAATATTTATTTTGTTGGGTAGTTGATGCTATTGAAGATTTAAAATAAGATATTAATTTTCTCTTAGCCTTTTTTTTTAGAAAATATAATATGTATGATTTACATTGCTTTAATTTAATAATTTATATCTTATAAAAGAGTACATGCGCATTGTAATCTATTACTGAAAAGGGATAATTACAGTCATGGTCTCAAACTTTTCAAGTTTGTGTAGCTTTTAGTCTAACCTTTCATTTGTTGCACCCACAATCTCGAAACTTTCATTATCATGCACATGCATTGGAAGGACGCATGGATGAAAATGATAAACCTCCCTTACGGTTCACGTATAGGAGGTGTCACAAAAAGGGAATGTAAAGGAAAATTGGAGGGGATGTCAGTTGTTAGACTTACGGTTGGGATGCTGTCATAGTTGTTATAGGGGAGTGAATAAATAGCAGGTAATAGGATCTAGAAAGCATTCAGAAAAGTAAATAGCAATCTGAGTCTGTAGGAGAGGGGCAGCTCTTGAAACCTGCCTTCCATCATTCTTTAATCAGTTGTTCCTTGAATTCGTTGATCAATCAATATAATCGTTCATTTTCTTCTTAATTTTTCTGTGTGAGATCTTACCATTTGATATCAGAGCATTGAGATCCTGGAAGATGAATGTCGGTCACTAGAATGGATAATCGAATTGAATCGCTAGAGAGTACAGTGGCACAGATTCCATCCTTGGAAGCAATCGTAGTTGAATTGAAGGGGACCTAGAACATTTGAACTTGAAACTGGGAATAGACTTGGGGAAGATGAATGAAAAATTGTAATCGAGTCTCGCAATGGGAAGGCGAGAACTGAACGAAGGACTTCAGACAAGTGCGCATATGATTACGGGGTTGCCACTAGACTCCTCGACGTTGACGAGAGAAGGGAGTGGAGTGAGGTCCTCTACGCCAACCGAAAAACAAGTGGAATTGGAGCCCATCACGACGGAGAATGAACTGTCGGCGTCTGGTAAGGGTAATTACCGCAAATTGGAATTACAATTATTTAATGGTAATGACCTGGATTCCTGGATATTCCAAGCTGAATGATATTTAAGTATGAACAAATTTACGGACGCGGAGAAGGTCGTGGCTGCTGGTGTGTGCATGGAGGGTTGCGCCTTGTCTTGGTTCTAATGGAAGGACTGAAAGCGACCCATACGCAGTTAGATGTTTCTGAAGCAGCAATTGAGGGAGAGATTAAGGGACACCAAGTATGGGGCTCTGCTCCAAAGCTTCCTGGCTATTAAACAAACGGGAACGATGGCAGAGTTTAGAGAGAAGTTCGAAATTATGTCGACTCCCTTGAAGAATGTGAGTGAGGACACATTAGAAGGAGTCTTCATCAATGGATTGGAAAAGAAAGTGCGGGCAGAGGTTTTAATGGCAAATCCGATGGGATTATCTCAGATTATGGACATGGCACAATGGGTGGAAGATAGGAATAATAGAATCAATAAGATGAAGGAGAAGGATCGACCAAGAGCCAGGTACATAAATTCTCCCACCTTACCACACAATGAACTACAAGCTGTCCCCTAGAATTTAAATCGGGGGACTGACCAGAATGAAAATGGGAGAAATCAATTGTTGAACTCTACATTCGGAATCAAAAAATTGACCCAAACTGAAATTTAATCCAAGAAAGAGAAGGGACTATGTTTCCATTGGGATGAGAAGTATCATATCGGGCATCGATGCCCAAAAAAGGAACTACAGGTGATGTTGATGAAGAATGAAGCAGAGAAGAAAGAAACTAAAGGCGAACTCATGGATGAAGCCATGGACAGTAACGAGTTGGAAGGAATGGAACTGTCATTGAACTCAGTGGTTGGTTTGACTTCGCCTAAGATATGAAGGTACGAGAAACCGTGCACGGGCAGGAAGTAGTGGTACTAATTGATTCTAGGGCTACGCATAACTTCATATCCTAGGAATTGACTAAGAAGCTTGACCAAGAAATAACAGAGACAAATGGATACAAGGTGCAGGTAGGCACAAGGAGGACAGTTCTGGGAAGTGGAAAATGTAGGGGAGTGATCCTACATGTGCAATCCTTGATGGTGGTGGAAGAGTTCTTGCCTATAGAACTGGGAAGCTCTGATATGATTCTAGGGATGCAGTGGCTGAGTATCTTGGGTACGGTTCAAGTCAATTGGAAGACATTGGTAATGAAAATACCATTGGGGAGTGACACCATTACACTGAGAGGTAAATAAGGGCCGAGCAGGTCATTGGTATCCTTAAAATCAATGATTAATACTTTATAGAGGGAAGGGGAAAGGATGGTAGTGGAGTTATGCTCGGTGCAAGTGAGTGGGCAGAAGTTTGAGCTTGAAATTTCCCAGCCTATCCAGGAGATACTAGCAAAATACAAGGATGTTTTTTAGGCCCCTATGGGGTCCATTGCGAGATCATAAACATGTCATCACACTGAAGGAAGGAAGTGGGCCTATAAGTGTACGATCATATCTGTATCCCCATGCGCAAGAGAAAATTGAAAAGCTGGTATCAAAAATGTTGGAGGCCGATATTATCCAGACAAGTGTGGGCCTCTTTTCCAGCCCTATATTGCTAGTGAAGAAAAAAGACAGAGGGTGGAGGTTTTGGGTAGATTATAAGGCATTAAATCGAGCCACCGTACATGACCGCTTCCCTGTTCTGGTGATTGACAAATTGCTAGATGAGTTGCACAGTGCCACAATCTTTTCTAAGCTGGACATAAAATCAGGGTATCACCAAATACGATTGAAGGCAGGGGATGAGTACAAATCAGCCTTTAGAACGTATGAAGGATATTATGAATTCCTAGTAATGCTGTTTGGGCTTACTAACG